ATAATAATAATAATAATAATAATAATAATAATAATAATAATAATAATAATAATAATAATAATAATAATAATAATAATATTAATAATAATAATAATAATAATAATAATAATAATAATAATAATATATGATAATAATTGCATATTATAGATAGTGACCATAATTAATTGTTTTAACATGCGTTATAATAATCATTACAAACTGTAATAATAATAATAATGTTTGATAATAATATTTACAACTCAGTGATCGTTTCTATGGCCGAGTTTCCTTTTGTCATGTTAATAAGACGCCATTCGTTGATTTGGGCTCTATCCAAGGCTTTCTCTATTTTGATGATTCAGTAGAAGCATGGCGGGTTGTTATACACAAGGAAATTACGGTAATGGAATGTTACAGATACGAATTACAGTGTTTATTAGTCTCATCCAAATATTTAATGGATTATTGGACACAACAGAGGCACAGACACAAAGTATGTTATAATATTTTGGTTATTTTGTGTTGAATTTACTCAAGAAACGTACTTTTCCGCAGTTAGGTTTTGCGGGTGAGATGGATAGGCTGTCTGACTGGATGTAGGCCTAGCCTAGGAGTTCAGCGATCGCTCATATGAGGGTACACCATGCTACAAATGGTTGGCGCGGTTGTTGTCGTTGCATGCAGATAATAAATTACTACTATTATTAGGCCTAGCCATCCTTATAAGGCCTAGAATACCTAGTTATATTGTTGTTTGTTAAAACTGCTTAGCTGCTTGCTAGATTAGTGTTGTGGCAGGGGTTGAATGATATTTTCTGTACATTGACATTGTGGATGCTTCTAGGCATAGGCCTAGCTAGTCTGTGTTGGCCTACCTAGGCCTAGAAAAAGAATCATTCAAAACCTAGGCCTACAGTAGGCTAGAGGCTATGTCCTAGTCTTTAGCCTAGCCTAGAAATAACCACTAGCTTGTGCCTAGAGAGGGCCTACTATACTACCTAATCCTAGGGCCTATTCAAAAAATACAATAAAATCAAATTTGTTATTTGTTGTGGTGGTCTATGGTGTACTGTAGGCCTAGGCCTAGGCCCTTGTTGTGGTGGTCTATGGTGTAGGCCCTATAGGGCCTAGGCCTATGTATGTAGGGTCAATCAAAGTTGGAGTAAAAAAAATAGCCTAGGCCTACAAGTAGGCCTACATAGGACCATGGGGTAGTGAGATCACTCGAATTAACTCTTCACACTCAGCAGTATGCAAATGAGCAAAGAACAAAGCTTCCACAGTGTGTAAAGTCAGTTTACTCCGAAGTCTATTTTTTGCTAATGTACTTTCGCACCTAACTTTTATTAATTCTCAATTTTTTTACCATGTGTTTTTCTCATAGTCATAACATATCATTATAAAACATGTTTACATTTCACAACTGTACCTTTTTCAACATGAAAATAATGTTATAAATACAGCGTTTGTGTGCTCGCTACACAACAAGCTGCTGCAATTTGCAATCAGTAATTAATTGCCAGAATGTCTGATTTTTAAACAGTGTACAGTTTCTGTATGCAATTAAACGTTATGGAAACTAATTTATTTGCTTTTGTCTGTCATTTCAGTTATGCTAGTTATTATATGGTGGTGGTGTGTGATTATGACGTAGGTTGACATGAATGTCACATGTACAATTTAAGTCTTAACCAAAGAAAATAGTGCCGTAAATGCTCAAATAAGCACCGCTCTTGAATAACCGCTGCTCTCGAATAAGCACCACACCAAACCTGATTGTTTTTCGCTAAGCTCCGCTGTCGAATAAGTGCCATGGCACTTAATTTTACCTGTTTGTAATGAAATACTTGAGAAACAAGGTTTTAAATACAAGGTACAGTGTAAAATTAATAAAACACAATGAAGACACATAAATATGAATATGTGAGATAGGTAACAAGGAAAGCACCACGCAAATATTTTTTTAAGCGCTGCTCTCAAATAAGCGCTGCTCTCGAATAAGCGCCGCGCTGAAGCCTCCAAAAATTGTACAGGCGCCGCTGCGCTTATTTGAGCATTTACGGAAATGGCTTAAATGCGTACACGGATATATAAAATATTTAATTTAATGGCATAATCCAGCAGAACAACTACCAGAGAGCCAAAGGCTAAATGACGGTTCGATTAGAAGAGTCTGAATGTTAAACAGGACAGTATAAGGAATAAAAGATGGTAACTGTATTACAGTGCATTTTGTTGTCGGATGTTTCATCATTGGAAAATTCTGATCCATTCAATCAATAGAACTTTTCAAAATTTAAAAATTGGAAAAAGAAAATCAGACATTCTGGCCATTTATTACTGATTGCAAAATAGCACCAACTCGCCATCACTTTTGTGACTTGTGATTGGTTGAATCATATGAATAACGATATGTTGTGACTGTGAGCAAAACATTGAGGTAAAAAATTATTAGAATTAAAAGTTAGTGCAAAAGTGCATTAGTGCCATCTAGTTAATATGTTCCCCACCACTAGTTGCTCAGCGGGTTTTCCAACAAATTAAACATGGCGAAATGGAGAGCACCTTTTTTCAATGTGCAATACTTACAGTCAGTCGCTATGACTGCGCAACCATTTCCACCTTAAAGCTACATTTATCTTTCAAAAAATATCAAACATTAATATTTTCTACAAAAAAGAGTTTTGAATTTAATGAAACATTTACACAAATCAGTTAGAACAGTATTATTAACCAAGGAGTTATTGTGGATTATAAATAAACTAAGTCATTTTACTGTGAACGCATGTGGACTATATAAGTAGTAAACACATATTAGACCCGTTTTTTGTTTTGGGTAGTGTATGTTTGTTAACTTTGATGAAAATGTTTACTTACAGTGAATTGTGATTATGTAATTCTACATTTTTGATATTGTTTAATTTTACAACTCAAGGTTTGCACCAGCCTATTTGCATAATTAACAGTTATAATCTGAACTGTAATAAGTACACTAAAGGAATTTAATTATTGTTCCATCTCATGATCCAGGTCATCAATATAATATAATTGACAATGCAACTTACAGTGTCTTTGGACTTTAACAGAAGAGATTTATAGAATAGGGACCAGCATTGATTAGATTACCACCATTGATTAAGGGGTAGGCTTTTGTGATTATTAACCCAGGGTATGTTATTGATTGTATAAATTTAAAGCCTGTTTACAATACAAAGTGTATTGAGTACTTCTTGAGTTTATGACATTCACAATTGGTCTCTTCGAGTAATAACACTTTGTCAGTCAGTTTATAACGGATGTGGTTGCACTGGCACTATGCTACTAGATATTCACATTAAAATTGTGGAACAGATCTTTTTTAAAGAACTGTTAAAACACCTTTCTAGTGTGATAAGGCCCCATAAAAAAAAATTATTAGTTTATCACCCGCTCCCTCATCACTTTTGGAAAAAATCAGATTTTTTTTTTTTTTTTTTTCAATTTTTTTTCAATCAACATATATTTTTATTTCAAATGGTCCATTTTTCATCTTTTTTGACTTGAAAAGCTCAGGGTTTCTTGCAAATATGCTTACTGGTACAACAAAAACGTATTTTTTAAATATAAATTTGATTGCATTCTTATGACTTTTTATATATGTGTCCCTAACCATTGATTTACTTGTGATCATCGGTAAAATTGGGGCGGGATTAGCAAAAAAAAAACAAACAAACCAAAAAAAAAAAACACCCTCCCTCCCTCATCAGTTTTTATTCTTTGATAGGGTGATAAACTAATAATTTTTTTATGGGGCCTAATGTTTGATCTCATCAGTGCTCTCCCAAAGCCGTTTTAGCCATCACTTTTACCAGTAAAAATAACCGACCAACCAACCAGTAAAAATTGTGTGTTGGTAGAATTAAAAAAGCACTTATTAGGCCTAGGTAGCCTTCTTTCAATAAATGAACATCATTACAGTCCAGGCCTAGGCTATGATTATGTATTGTTTTTTGAAGCCATTGAACTCCACTTAGAAGTGGCAATACCTCACGTTGCGCGCACTTAGCCTGGCTCTATACAAATTTGCCAGTAAAAATTTTTCAGTTGGGAGAACACTGCTCATGGTCACCATGTTCAAAGCTAATATACAGTAACTGTAGGCCTACTGTAGACTTTACACTAGCCGACACAAGTAAAGGAATATTTTTCCATTCCAACAAAGAACAAACCACTTCCTGGGAGATTTTTAGGAATTACAATGTGAGTGGATCGTATGTAGCCCTGTTTCTTGATTAATTTATTTGAAGGGCCAACTTATTTTTAGATTTGATGTCACAGGCCAAAGGAAATTTCCAAGATTCAAGTACCTTGCTATAATTTATGGACCAAGGTAAAATTCTGAGATGTTGTGGCCGAAGGCTCCTGTTGGTCACACAGACTTTTGAAGTTTTTTGGCAATTTTAAATTCTATTCTTTGTCAGTGGATCGTACAATATGTAGCCCTGGTTCTTGATTAACTTATTTTAAGGGCCAAATTATTTTTAGATTTGATGTGACGGGCCAAAGAAAATTTCAGATTTTCAATTATCTTGCTATAATTTATTGACCTAAGGTAAAATTTTGAGATGCTGTGGCCAAAGGCCCCTGTTGGTCACACGTACGTTCGAAGTTTTTTGGCAATTTTAAATTCTATTCCAATTTAAATTGTACTATAGCACAATATTAGAACACTAAATTGATTACAATTTTAGCACCATAAGATTTATAATATTTTGCCAAAGGAAGAATTAGCACACTTCATTTCACTATTTCTATTTGACCCCTCTGAAGGGGGTCCAGGGCCTACGGGCTAAGCTTCCAGAAGATCTAACATCCTCCACCAAATACTTGCTTTAAAGCTTAAAACATTTTGCCTATAAAATCTTGGGTTTACTCATAATAAGGTCAAGTCTCTGATAAAGTTTTTTATTTTAACTTTTTTTCTCGCGGATAAATTTGCAAAATTGGCCAGTGGCGCACCTATTCAAAACTAGAGGTATATAGGGTTTGTGGTGGACAAAATATCTTTTTTCAATTGTTTTGAAAGAGGGCCTCTTCAAGTCAGCATTGCTATGAGGGCCACCCCTCAAAATATTTTTAATTAAATAAATAAATGATGAGCTTTCTATTTATTTATTTAATTAAATAAATAATTAAATAAATAAATGATGAGCTTTCTATTGTCTTGGTTATAAATTATCTATGTCTAGCTCTTAGATGGATAATACGTGGTTAAATTATCTAGCAATGTTTATCCAGTAATTGTATTATTTTTACAGTGACCGGGAGTAGTAATGTAAAGCGCAGAGTCTACAATATGCGCTATATAAGGTGACAATTATTATTATTATTATTATTATTATTATTATTATCATATTAAAATTAAAAGTACCCAAAATTGTTGTCCATGTCATTATTGAAAAACAGAATTTGCCAGTTGTGTAAGCCATATAAAACTACATAATTTGGGTGTTTGACAATAGCTGGCAATGTTTAAGTGCTGTTAGAGGGAGGTTTTAAGGATACTATCCACATAAGCTCAGTTGTTCACAGTCAAGACTTTCTTTTTTTAAGCTTTCAAATTTTATGGAGCCGAGGTGAGGCACATACAAATTTTTGTGTTAACTATTATTTTCTTATTCCATAAAAGAATTAAGGAGATCTCTTATATTCTAATGCTGGTTACTATCAATTTTATTCACAGCGTTTGTGCAGTCGGAATTAAATGTGAATGAGCTTAGGCAACTGGTAGAGGAAGTGTCGCTGAGGGTAAGTGTCAAATCTAAGGCATAGTTCTCTGGTTATAAGCCCACCTTTACTTTATGCCAAATTTTGCGTACCAGGGTATGGTTTAAATAAGTACCTTACAGTAGCTGTCCTACAAACTTACAGTAAGATAGCCGGTAGGCATGTAATGTTGGAAAATTGCCTATTTTGTGAAAAGAAATTCCTTGGTTATAATCCCATATCCCCTCCCTCCAAATTTATACTAATTGGTGTGGATGCTTATACCAGAGGAATTAAAATACATGCTGTATAGTTTAATAGCCATTCATCTACAGTTACAAAAAGACTCAATTTTCGCATCTTTTTTTGATAGAGTTTAGTTCCAGAATGTAATGCTTTCACTTCGGATGTTTGTTGACCTAGAATGTTTATAGATGTGTTTTCATTCAAAAAGTCCAAGGGATTTAATGTCCATTGTTGTTGTTTTGTTCAGTGTGATCTTGTATGAAAACTGTTCCTTTTTAACTCAGAATTTAATAAATATTTTCTTGGTGGATTTGGCCTAATTTTTAAAATCCATGCATAACACTTTTAATTAAGACTTTGGCATCATTTGTAAACCCAAAATTTTGCGATAGATTATTATAATACTGTATAATTGTATCAGATCCAAAACCACTTTTAGGCAGGTAACCAGACTGTTGCAGGCTTTATGAAACATTTTGGTCACGCAGTGTATAATTTGACAAAAAGGAAGGCAACAATCAAAATCGGCCAAAATATAAACAGAATGCATACACCATTGAGTAAGATCTAAATATATTTGAAAGCTTTTTTTTAAACTTGATATTTTAAATTGAAATGTTACTAACTGTAACACACCAATCAACATTCAGTAACAACATTCAGGAAATATGTGCACTCTATATGTAGTTTAGTTTGTCCCATCAAAAGAAATTTCAAACATTTGTGCATTTATCAACTTTTAAAAGGTTGAATTCATGTTTTTGGTTTCTAGATAAAATTACACAAATTATTTAACTGTTTTGGAACAAATTTTAGCTATAGTTGATGATGATTGACACTATGACACTTTTTGTACTTGTTTTTGTAATGTGGACATTATCATGCTTTGATACAACATATTGTCACAATGAATGAGCAGCATAAAATCTTGTATTGTGCTTGTATACATGTATGTTATTCAAGTTGTCTACTGATAAATCCATCTTCCTGTACACCAGACTTGACCTGTTGTGACATTCGTGTATAGTACAATAGAAACATGGATGACCTGTGATATCCACAGTACAAGCAGTATGTGACACATTATTGTGATGTCTCTTTTAACAGTAAATCCTTTCGTAACATTTGTATGCACAAATAGCAAAGTGTACAGTTCAGCACAACTTGTCATCTCATCGAAAAATAGTAACATCCACAGTACTACACATTAACAGTAGATAGTTCCACTAAGTCCCTCCAATGGATAGTTGTTAGGATTCCACAAAATGTACTTAACACCAGTGGGTTATTGGAAAAAGACATACCTGTACACTTTTGGGACAAACATGTATTCCTGGCCCTTTTCTGATAGGTCAGATTTTTTCAAAGTTTGACAGGCTGGAAAGTTCCATTGTACTGTACTCAGCAAAGTGTATACAACCTTCATCATACCAACAAACAATGGTTAACTGTATCACTTGTGATACATAATATAAGAATGTTTGTATATAAATGTACAACAGCAATGCATTGTTTTATACTAAATAGAAATGCTTACAGTTACATATTATGACACACAAAATTTACAATCAGTATGTATCATAACCTGCCATAATATACTCACTCCCAGCAAGATTTATGCATTCGGGATCCATCTGCTTAAGTGACCATGATCTTACGCATAATACGGGGATGTAGTTATGGTAGGCAGCAATGTCGTAGCCAGGATTTTCAAACAGTGGGATTATATCAGGTTGGACCCAATTTACACGTAAATTCAAATAATGTGGACCCATTTTCTTAAAAGTTTTCCCATTTTACTTTAAAATATGAACAATCTGGACCCATTTTCTTAAAAATTGATCCATTTTACGTAAAACATGAGAAATCTGAACCCATTTTTTAAAAATTTGACCCATTTTACACAAAATATGAAAAATCTGGACCCACATTTAAAATGTGGACCCATCCTTTGTGGACCCAATAGAACAATTGTGTGGGACTATACTAACTGTCCCAATAGCTGGCTACTGCATTGTTAAGCGCAACCAAGATTTGAAGTTTTCCACCCAGTGTAAAGCTAATTTCATGGCCCTCCACCCACCCTTATTAACCCACTTTTCCATCTTATTATCCACTCTTAATTATTTAGAGTTCACCAGTGTTATCATCCACCAACCCTTAAAATGTCTATCACACACCATAGTTTTGTACAGCTACTGTACAACCCTAGTAAATGTAATATTGCTTGCATCAAAAAATGTTTTTCTTGCAATTTTTTTCACTTAGTTAATATACTTCTTAGAATATGGAAATATAGGAAATGAACCTGATTTCAAAGGTCAATATTAGGTCAATGCATTATACATGATTAGACTAGTATTACTGCACCTACAAGGATCCGTGGCTTTTGCAGTGTCCCTACTGTTGTTGCACACAGTAATTCTATGTTATTAACCTGCTGATGTATGCTAAATTTACTTAGACTACTAATTGACCTTAGTTAATGATGTTACATGCATTTTTATGTTTTCTTTTGATCTAATGACTAAATTATCCTTGAATAATGTTTTAGGCTTTTTGTGATTCCTAACAAGAAACTGTAGTTTAGGCAAGGAAATGTGAATAAATTTGCATGTGTTTTAAAAGCATTTTGAGATCATCAAAACTGTAGTATACTGTAATGATGAAAAGGGACGTGAATTGACAATTAAACATCAGATTTCTCAAGGGGATCATCAAAGGAAGGCAGATTGGCACAGTGGTTTTAGTTGTGGTTATCAACATTGTGGTTGCGAGTTTTAAATCACATGCTAACCCTCTCAGTGACCATGCTTATAATACCCCATCTTGCATTTATTGACAGACTGTAAAAATCACTTACTGTAAGCTGTGTATTAGACTTGGGGTGCAAATATTTCAAATTTCATGGTCCTAATCTTTACCTTACATTAACACTTATCGTGATAATGTCATAGCCTACTGTAACTGTGCTGTTGTTCATCATAGCATATTATTAAATAAAAATATAAAAAGATGAACTTGACACAGTAATATCGTAGATGATGTACACATTTTGTGATTGTTTCACTGTTTGTTGAAGCAGATGATAAATCCAAAGAGAAGTCAGTGAAATACATGTTCCTCATTCTCATTTCTAATGTGAAATTGGCTGGGATGACTGGTAATGAAGTACATGTTGACATACCAGGTACCACATGTTAGAAGTGAATAAAAATGCTAATACAGGTACATTGTAATGAGTTAATGTTCAAATGTAATCAATCTTTCCAATCCAATTGAAGCTACTTAATTTCAATTACTAAAAAGCTCAAAATGTCTATGACTTGTGATGAAGAGTCATCAGCATGCCAGGTAACACCTGTTTGAATTAAGTAATAATTGGTTTAATATTAATAGTTTTTAATATTAGGTTTTAAAATCACACTTTTTCAATCCCACAAAGTTTATTAATTTCCATTAAGAATGACAGCAAAAATATATTCACTAAGTACATTTGAAATTTTACACAAAAAAACTCCCCAAAATTTAAAATAATTCAGAAAAATATTTATTCAGAAATGTTATAGAAAACAATACTTTTTCATAACAAAAATAAAATGTTTAGTATTACAAGATTTTAAAACACTTTTAATGGATAATTTAAACTATATTTCTTTTCACATTTTTACCATTATGTGTATTTTCAATTAATATATTAATAAAAGAATAGGCCACTTGGCTGTTTGGTAATAGAGTTGTGACAGATTATGATTTTTAATTATAAACTTTCATAATATTTAATAATATTATCCCACAATGAGCTACTGTAGGTGAATTCAAATGAACGTAGAAATTTGTAATGCAGTACAAAGTTTAATTTCTTGTAAATTTTGTCCAAATACCTGCCAGCAAATTTAAAGATTTTCATAGTAAATGCCTGTAGATCAGTGTTTAAAACTAAGCAGCTGGATCAGTGACTTTAAGATAGTTGATAATTCTTTTAATTAAAGAATTCAAAGATTTATTTTAATTTTTTAACTATTTTTTGGTGGCAATATATTTGTTGTTTGGTTTAGTAGTATGTAGTATGGTTATTTTCACAATAAAGGGTGTAACTTTGAATTTTGAACATTTTGCTCCGAAGTGCTCTAATAAAGCTACAGAATTGCCACATAAAAGTCATCTAGTTATAAGCTACCTTGGAGTTACTTAGTTCAATTTTGGCAGGAAGATATGTACCATAATAATCTAAAAATTACAGTACTAATGTAAAGTCCTGTAGTTTCTTTAAGTAAATTAATTTGCTTATTTTTCTTATATGTTGAAAGTATAGTCATATGTTCCAATGAAACCTACCAAATTAGTTGAAATTTTCACTGTCCTTAATTTCTAAGAATGGAACGTTGGTATTTCTTGTTTCGGAGACTTCATTTTCCATTAACAATTGTTAACACATTTTGCAGGTTGACCTACGTGTAATAATTGCTTTATATTCCTTAAATCCATTTTGGATGTAACAGTTGATTTAACTGAACTTTGATGACAAAACTTAATTGATCCCAGGGCTTCAAAAGAATTCTCCTTAAACTTAATAGAGTCAATTTTCCGTTAACTCTTTTGTTTGTGCAAATATGAATAAAGTAAATTACCAATTCTATTTATCAGAACGTAGCAAGTACACCTACAAGTCACATGACTATATAATAGTAGTATGCCATGTGATTTGGAAAATGGAGAAAATATGTACTTTCCGTTAACACTTGAAGCCTCCGAAATGCCTTGAAGCCTCCAAAACATTAATAACCGTAAATACC